GTGGTGTTCGGTCCCGGATCCATGTCTGCTGGGCCCCAAAGGATGGGCCCCGGAGGCCGAAGTCCACGAAAAGCGCCCGGGCTGGAAGAAAACATGTGTTGCCGTGCGTCTTGCTCGCGTCACAAGGGCTCTGTACTGGAGCGGCGGTCATGGCCAACGCAGGGCCAACCAGCCCCGCGTGGTCACTGGGCCAGCATGGGGTCACACCAGCCCCGTTGGACTGCCGATGGCTCCCCCCGAGGGCCTCCGAGAGGGGTCACACAGCATGCCCGCCAACACAACCAGGTGTGTGACTGCCGCAAGCTGGCAACGCTGCAAGATGGGCGCGGCCACATCGCCGGAGGCCTGGGCACCGGCGCCCGCGCGCGAGCGGCAGGACGACGACAGCGACCTCGACGGCCCCGAGCGCTACGCGGTCAATGAGGCAAGCCGACGCCCCCCGGGGGGGGTCGACTTCGGTCGCCGCCCCGCCTGCGCCGAGCTCGCACCGAGGCAGCAATGACGCCCAGCCCGGCTGGCTTCCTGCCATGGGTCGCCCAGGGAACTTTGAGATGTTGGCATTCCAAAGTTTTCGAGTCGGGCGACTTCGCCTCCGGCTTTCGGGCCCCAAGATCATCACAGGTCGATCGGGCTCAAAAAATGGCACAGACAGATGGGATCTAGGGTTTTGGTCGCGATGTTGCAAGATATTTCATGTTTTTCGCGACGTCAGATCGGAGAAGGACAATAGGTTTCCAGGTTCGAGGTTCTCGCCAGTTCTCTGAGGTTTTGCCAGCCTCGAGGTGCGCTCTTCTGCAGCTACGCCTCTCCGAGGCATCCAGGGGTGCCTGGATCATCCCGAACGGCCGCCGGGGACCCGAATTTTTTACCCGAAAGCCGAAAAGAAAACGCAGGGGACCCGAGTTATGACCCGCCTCGCCCGCGAGTCAGTCGGCCAGTGCCAGGGGGTCGCCGCTAGGGGGTCACCAGCTCCTTCTGGAAATCGGAGATCGAGGAGAGAGTTTTTGAGGATCCAGGAGATGTTCGGACGTTCTTGCAGTTTCTGAGGGTCTCTTGGGAGGAGTCTGGGGGAGCCTGCTTCCTCCAGGAGGTGGCGACACCACCTCGTAGTGACCCCCGTTGGCATTGCTTCGCGTCGCGAAAAATCGCGATGGACGGTCTTGGGCAATTTTTGGCCCCTGGAGCATTCGACAGGCCCTGGGAAGCACGATGACCATGACCAGGATGTCTCGGGATCGTGTCGACACCGATCTTGGTCATGGTCCATGTTGGCCGTCTCCGATTCGCAAGCGTGATCCACGAGCTGACGATGACCACCAAGATGGATGATGGCCAAGCTCGACATCGACGTTTCCGCATTCAGTCTTGGTCATGGTCATGGTCATCATCGTCGCCCGCGAGTTTTCCAGACCTCCTCGAATCGTGAAAAAACTGCGACGGACAGGTGTTGCTGTTTTTCCCAACCATCTTGTGGTGTTCGGCCCTCGTTTTGAAGAGACAGCGCCCCGCGTCTCCTCCTCTTCCTCCTCCTCCTCCTCCTCTTCCTCCTCCTCCTCCTCCACCTCCTCCTCCTCCGCCTCCTCCTCCTCCTCCTCTCCTCTCCTCTCCTCTCCTCTCCTCTCCTCTCCTCTCCTCTCCTCTCCTCTCATCTCCTCCTCCCTCTCCTCCCTCCTCCCAGCCTTGCCTCTGCTCTCCGCATGACTCTCTTTCGGCACACCCCTCACACGTTTCGTGGCCCTGGTCAGCTCGCATGCGGTCCCGCCACGAATTTCGGCGCCCCACTCACACGTTTCGTGGCCACATACGGAACTCCACGGAAGTTCCTAGTGGCGCAGCTCGCATGCAGTCCCGCTACCAATTTCGGTACACCCCTCACACGCTTCGTGGCCTCATAGGGAACTCCACTGAAGGCCCGAGTGCCACCGCCCGCATCCGTCCCCACCACCCATGTCGGCACATCTCTCACACGCTTCGTGGCCTCGTAGAGAGTTCCACCGAAGGCGCCAGTGGCACCGTTCGCATGCGCTCCCGCCGCCCATTTCGGCACACCCTTCGCACGTTTCGTGTCACCACAGGGAGTTCCTCCGAAGCCCCCAGTGCCAGGATTCGCATGCGGCTCCCCGCCCGTGGCATGTCCATTTCAGCACGCCCCTCATGGTTCGTGGCCCCATAAGGAGTTCCCCTTTCTTCGTCTCGCTTGCTTGGCGGCATTCACACCTGCATATGGTTGGGGTCTTCGCCAAGATAATTTGCCTCTGGGGGCCTTCGCCGGGCCCCAGGACCGTTAGAAAACTACCAGGGATGAAAGTCTCGTCCCGGGAATGGGTCGAGACCTCCGGCCGACGCTGCGACCAAAAAGATTGCGCCGGGGGTCTGGGCCCAGAGGCCCGGCACAGAGCAGCACTCGCGCAGGAGGCCTTCCTTCGATCTCCGCGCCTGTGGGGCCCCCGACGGCCGCCGCCTGGTCGACCGAGAACCAAACGGCATCACCCCACCTACGACCCGCTGGGCCGTAGGTGGGTCGTAGGTGGGGTGGTGTCGCAGGTGGATCGTAGGTGCTCGTAGTTGGGCAAGCGCCTAAACTTTCAACATCGCTGTGTCGCAGGTGGGGTCGTGTCGTTTGTCTTCTGCCCAGATGCGGTAAGGCAGGCCGGCAGGCAGATACAAGCCAGGTAAGAGAGAGGAGAGGAGAGAAGGAGGCAGGTAGGAGGAGGGGAGAGGAGGGAGGCTGGAGGCGGGAGGAGACGCGACCGCAGTGCCCTATTCAAAACGAGAACCCAACACAAGAGAACACAGGAGGGTTGGGGAAAAAACAATCGCGCCCAAGGCTTTGCCTTGCTTTCGGCGCCTGTGGGGCCCCCAGCGCCGCCGAGGGCCCTACCGCGAGCGGCAGCCGTGCCTCGCCGCGTGCGGGAGAGGATCTGCGGGGGGGCAGCGCCGCGCTCTGGCGCGGCACTCCCGGGCCGGCATATAGGTCGGCCGAGGGCGCCCGCCCGACGCCCGGGCTTCCCCTTGGAGAGGGAGGACAGGGAGAGGGAGGAGGAGGAGGAGGAGGAGGAGGAGGAGGAGGAGGAGGAGGAGGAGGAGGAGGAGGAGGAGGAGGAGGAGGATGAGGAGGGAGGAGGAGAGGGGTCAGGAGAAGGAGGAGGAGGAGGAAGAGGAGGAGGAGGAGGAGAGGGAGGAGGAGGAGGAGGAGGAGGAGGACGAGGAGGAAGAGCAGGAGAACCAGGAGGAGGAGCAATACCCGGACACCCTCACGTTGCGAAAAAAAACACGACGTGAGGTGTTTCGTTATTTTCAGCCTCCGGGGGCCCTTGTCGGGCCTCGGGACCGTCCAAAAACGATTCGGGATAAAAAACCGGTTTCGGGGAAAGGGTCCAGATTTCTGGGGGTCGACGTTGTGAAAAAATCACGACTTCGGGGGGCTGGGGAGGAGGAGGAGGAGGAGGACGAGGAGGACGAGGACGAGAAAAAGGGCGAAGAGGAGCGCGAGGAGGCTGGCGAGGAGTGTTGGAGCGAGAGTGAGGGTGAGAGCGAGAAGAATGTGGAGGAGGAGAGCGAGGACGAGAGTGAGGACGAGGAGGATGAGAACGAGAAGGAGGAGAGCGAAGGTCCTAGGGAGGTCTCCAAAGGTTTTTGGGGGCCCCTTGGAGACCCAGAAATGGGAACGGCTGATGTCGCCGACCGCTGGATTCGCCGACGTTCGTTTCGCCGGGATGGTTTCGCCGACCCGCCCATTAGAGTCCCGCCCGCCCGACCCGCCCGTTAGGCTCCCGCCCGCTCGATCCGCCCGCCAGGGTCCCGCCCGTTCGCGTGGTGGCAAGCCCGTCCGCTTTTCTGTCCCGCCCAACCGGCCCACCCGTTTGGGGCCCGCCCGCCTGATCCTCCCGCCAGGGTTCCGCCCACGAGACGCCCGCTCCCAGCCAAACCCGCCCTGGCGAAACCAGCCCCGGCCAGCGGAACCAGTTCATGCCACCAGAAACGGGGAGCCAGAAGCGTGCAAGAAATAGATATGCGGCCCTCAGTCCTCGACGACGACGATAGTGACGGCGGCGGCGACAACGACGGCGGCGACGGCAGAGGCGACGGCGACGGCGACGGCGACGGCGACGACGACGACGACGACGACGACGTCCACCGACGGATTCCAGAGGTCTCTGGCGGCTCTCAGAGCTCCTGGGAGGTTCGCGGAAGCCTCCACGGTACCCCTGGACCCCCCCCCCGCCCCAAAAGCACACCAAGTCGTTTTGTTTCGGGCGATCCCCACCCGAGAACGCGAGGCGGGATCCAGGGAGCACTCGTCCCTTTGGGGCCTGAGGACCGCGGTAATTATTATTCAGTCGTCGTCCGTCGAAGACGCAAGGCAAGATAATTCAGGGAGCAGTGGGACCCCCGGGGCCTGGCGGCCGCGGTGTGCAGGGTGGGCGAGGCACGTGTCGTGTCGTGTCGACCGGCGGCGACGCCGCCATCCGGGTGTGCGGGAGCTTCCTTTTTTGCAATCTAGCAAGCCCAACCTGCCGGGTGTGGGGGGGAACTTGGATCCTCACCCTCTGAGGCCTTACAGTCGGCACGGCAAATAAGAAATCGGCCTGTCCCACGGAAACCTTCCTTTCCCCGATGGCCCCGGGGACCCACAGATTCCCGCAGTCGTCATCGTTTTCGACGTCGTCGTTGCCGTCTTCGCCGCTGTCGCCATCGTCGTCGCCGCCGCCGTCGTTGTCGTCATCGTCGTCACTGTCGTCGCCGTCGTCGTCGTCATCGCCATCACCGTCGTCGTCGTCGTCGTCGCGTCGCCGTCGTCGTCGTCGTCATCGTCGTCGCGTCACCGTCGTCGTCGTCGTCGTCGCTGCCGTCGTCGTCGTCGTCGCCGTCGTCGTCGTCGTCGTCGTCGTCGCCGTCGTCGTCGTCGTCGTCGCCGAGGAGGAGCGCGGCGCCGCTTCGGGGGGCGCCTCCGCCGAGGCGTCCGAAGGCGCCGCGCCGCCGCCCGGCGAGCTCTCCAGGAGGGGCGGGCGCCGCCGCCTGGCCGGCCAGGCGTCCATCGCTCGCCGCCCCAGACCTCGAGGATGGGCAGATCAGAAAAAGATGGCCGCCAAGTTTCGGCCACGCGCAGAGGGGGGGGGGCGCAGAGGGGGGGAGAGCCTAGGGGGAGGGGGGGAGGCTTCTTTGAAGCACCCCTGCTTCTTAGAAGGCGCGGGCCTTACATGTAGAGGCTGGCGCCCTCTAAGGAGCAGCCTCCTAAGAAGCCTTCCCTCCTCCCCCTATCCCTTTGTGCGCGCGGCCAAAGGAGGTGGCCGCCAAGTTGGAGCCGTCTGGGGGTCTGAGGTGGCGCGGCACCAGCTCCGGCCAGAGGAAAGGCGGGCACGCTCGAGGTTCTGGGTTCGGGAAAGGGGCGTTTGCATTATTCAACCTCGGAGGGCCGTTTTCGGGCCCTGGAATTGTGAAGAACGGATCCGGAGTGAAAAACTGTTCCAGATGGACCCCGGGAGGTGTCCAGGGACCGATGTTGAGCGGATTTGGCTTCCGATGCTCGTGGGTCCCAGCCAGTTCTGACCCCCGGCCGCTTCCAACCGCCAAGAAAGGAAAACAATCGACTCAGACAGCGTCTCCCAGGACCGACCCTGGCCGACTAGCCCAGAACTCCCCCTCACACACGCCGACAGGGTCAACGGGTTCGTGTTGCTCCCAAGCGTGCACGTCTGACAGTGGATGGAATAGCTCCAGAACCTCACACCGTAGCATTGCTCACAACGTGGCCCAAGTACTACGAGGGAGTCACTGCATGGATATGCGCGTGGATCTACGGTATACAATGTTGCGTCTGGGCTCTGGTTTTCTCATGTTTGTAAAGAATGTGAGCAGCATGTCTGGAGGAGAACTGTGTGCAGCAGCAACACTCTACCCACTTTTAAAACGGACGAGGTGTCTGCGGCCTCCCATAAATGAAAAGAGCGTACAACATCTCTGGTGTACACGCCCGCTTTGGCATGGCGCGGCGGACGCGAATGGTCCATGCAGGCACTTGCTCTTGATCCATCATGGGCAGTACGGTGAGAGCCACAACGATGACGACAAGCGTGACCTCTCATTTGTTGGCATACAGCAGGCTGACATTACAGGTCGGCGCATCGCTGAAACGTCTGCTGCTGCGAATGGTATACCAATCTCGCGCATTCATGTGAGCGAGATGCGCCGCGCTCGGGAAACAGCTATCGTAATCGCACGTAAACTTCCCGCCGGCGTGATCTGCACACCATTGGATCCAGACTTGAACGAGGGGATCCCGATCTTGCCTGTGCCAGACTGTAGATCTGGAGGCTCATTCCAACAAGTGCAGCGGGATGGGCGAAGGGGCTGAGAAGGCGTTCCACCGATATTTAGTTGTGGTTGCTGGACCGTTGGAGATCCAGAGAAGGCGCACGAATGCGAAGTAGTCATCGGGAGGCCAACTTGATTTGGTAGTTTGTTCGTCGCGCGCTTCGACTGCCTCCAGAGGCTCGGCTGCGGCTTGACATACCTTCTCGTGTGGCCTGATGTCTGCGTGCGGGTACGCACGCTTGGAGACGCTGGCCACTTGCCGGACGACCTTATCACGCTCTCAGCGTATGGGTTGGAAGTGGTACGGGAAGCCCACCACACGATTTTTGGGAAGCGTTGTTGCCCAGGATGTTGCTCCAAAGGATGCTGCATAAACTAGGTTCCCTGTCGCCACAGCCCGACCATGTCTTGAATCAGGTCCAGGTCCTGATTCGACTCGTATGACACGCTCACGCAGGATATGATGATCGAATGGTGCGTTATGATAACGAGCGGGCTTCACAAAACCTTCATTTGAATTCAGGCTTGCTCGCATGAGGACAGCGGGGCATATGTTTGCGCACACGCTGCCGAGAATTGTTTTCCGGTTTTCCAGCGTGTTCCAGCAGATTGGTCTAGGTGGGCGGAGGGAGAAACAGAGAGAGAGAGAGAGCGAGAGAGAGAAAGTACAAAAAAACACGCTCAACAGTTTTTCCCTGATATGGGTGACTGGATGGCTGGTTGGTTGGTTGGTTGCTTGACTGGTTGTTTGGAAGGATGGTTGGTTGGTTGGCCAGGTTGCTGCGTGGTTGGGTTGCTGGGTGATTGGTTGATATGTTGGTTGGTTGGCTGGCCGATTGGTTGGTTGGGCTGTCATTTGCTTGGTTGATTGGTTGGTTCGCTGGCTAGTTGCTTGGCCAGTTGGTTTTGTCATTCCCCAAAAAGTGCTTGAACCTAAGGGGGCCCACATGTACATTAAGGAACTGGGTAGCTACAACGTGTCATTTTCGGTGGAGCCCGTTCCCCTCTTCCACCCCGAAGGTGGATTGTGCGGAGTTGCATCGCGCTTCCTCGTGCGGACGACATGATTTGTTCGCAAAGTCGACCCCCGAGATCTCGACCCATTCCCCGGAACTGACTTTTCATTTGGGGTCGTTTTCTTGATTGCCCAGGGGCCAAGCGAGGACCTCCAGGCCGAAAATTGGGCGGCGACATCCAAACCCTACCCCCACCAACCATCGGTTCTCCTGCACCGATGGGAGGCGGGGGTAGGGTTCCGATTGCGCCACGCGCGCGACGCATTCCGAACCCTACCCCCGCCGACCACCGAGTTGCTTGAATCGTTGATCGGCGAGGGTAGGGTTCGGATTTCGCCGCCTAAAAATCACCAACAAATTGACGTCGTGATTCCTTCTCGACGCGAGGGGGTTTCGGCCCTCCCTCGTCGGTTGTGCCAGAAGGGCGCCGCATGCCGCTGGTCGTGCCAGTTCCGCCAACTTCCTCCTCCTCTTCATCCTCCTCCTCCTCACCATGACCATCATCAGCATCATCATCCTGATCCTCATCCTCATCTTCCTCCTCCTCGTCTTCGTCATCCCTCCTCGCCCTCCCCCTCCTCCTCCTCCGACCTCCTCCTTGAGGACTCCCTCCTACGCTCGTATCCTCCTCCTCCTCCTCCTCCTCCTCCTCCTCCTCCTCCTCCTCCTCCTCCTCCTCCTCCTTCTCCACCCCCCCAGCATCGGGGCACAGGTGCGACGCTACGAAGCGCCATATGACAATGAAGCTACACTCACTGCTACACCACACTCCATGGAATACGGATGTTTCTCCGCTGCTGGCTGCTGTGTATACGGGGGATATGCAATCTCAGAGTTGGATGTGACAACCCCTGATCGGCAAACAGTCTAGACAGGGTGGAGGACATTGTTTGGCGGACGTCGCATTTCGACGCTGTGGCTGTGATTGGTACTACATAAAAAGTGACAACGGGCACAACCATCAGACGCAGGATGATCGAGGCTGCTGAGCAAGGTGCCTATCATCGACCTCGCGTGGATGATGGATTCGCTGCGCCCCCGTATGTGACCGAGGTGTGTGGGTGCAGCATCATCTGGGGGCGACGAGTTCGTGCTGAGCATATGGTTCCGATTACCCCGGTTCCAGAATCGATACCGGGTCGAAGATTGTTGGCACGAGCGGAAAATAGCGCGTTGGACGTGACAGCGATTGTTGTTCACATTCTTCCTAAACCTCGAGCACTATAAGCTCAGGAGTGCTATCGCACCGCCTGTGATCGGCTGGCGAATTGGTTTGCTTCTTGCCTGTATTTGTTTCTTTCGCGGGCGATACGTATTTATTGGTGTGATTTTAACGTCGAATTGAGCAGAGCTCGAGACGAGCATGGAGTTTGGCACTCTGATGAACTGAATGTAGTACCAGCGCAGACGGCGACGTGTGCTCATTATGTTGGTTTTATGATGGGATCGACTTTACATCAATATGACCTGCAGGCTGCAAGTTGCTTTGGATGGGGCTGCGCCTACGTTCTACTCCACGACGGGGCGCTCGTCGCTGATCGATTTCGCGTGCATCCCCTGGCCGCTAGTGAAGGTGATGAAGGCAGCAGGTCCTCTCGGAAGGCTAAGTCGAGATCTCCAGCTCGTTACCAAAGCTCGACCTTGTGACCATTTAGTTATCCACGCTGCGTTTCCCTATGTCCTTGCTTCTGGTGGGCAAGACTCTGAACGGATGGAGCGGCGGCTGTGGACGAACGTGACGAGGTGGCGAACGACGACGTGAGTATTTCGAGGCCCTTCGTGCTCGACTGCGGACTGATTCTGCGCGTTTGGGAAATGATTTGTTGAAATATACAGAAGATGAGATCCTTGATCACAGAAACGAGAACATGGTTGAGGTGGGGCAGCAGATCTTTACAAATTGTACAGTTCACGAGTGATGTGCGCCAGCGTCTGCGCGGAGACCGCGAGGCTACTCCGGCTGAGCCGCTGCGTCTCACGCGGCAGATAGCAGGGGCATCCGAGGCGGAGGGGAAGGAGGTAGCATAACGCCCCAAAGCCTTTTCCGAAAGCCAGCCGACGACAGCGACGACGTGAGCGAGAGCAGCAGCAGAAAGCCTTGGTAGCCCAAGTTCAGGAGCACTGGCGAGCGCGGAGGCTGGCTGAGGCCGCACGGCGGGCTAGGCGTCTTGCTGGGTCTCGTTGGGGGCCCAAGAAACGCGACTATCAGGCTGCACGCGGGGCCATAAGATGAGGCCAGTTTCATCCGGCAGCTCAAGAAGAATGACAACGAGCGCTGCATGGAGAGCACGGTCGCTTAGCCCACATAGCCCTGGGAGCACGAACAAATTTCAGAAGTTCTCCGAGGGCCCGCGTTTCCTGAGGAGGAGGGAGGGTCCACATGTCGCGATGTAAAGTTTATCGGGTTTGCGATCAAGCGCGCTGGAAAACGTCGCGCCGTTCCCGCGCGGCGCCCCCTCCCCCCCCCTGAAGCACGGGCGGCTTTTCTTCTTACCCTACAAGGCCTGGTCTCACCGGGGCGAGGGAGTGGGGGTGTCAGCTGAAGTTCCAGGTAGGAGGATCGGTCAGGGGCTCTTGCTGCGAAGTTCAAAACTTGCACGTCACTGTCGTCGCGCGCCGCCGAGGTGGCATCTGAGTGGAGGCGCGCCCGCCCCTTGGCCCGACGGCGG